TCTGTCTCTTTGGCCACTCAGAGGCTGGACTTCAGAATTCTGTCCCTGGTATTTGGCTGGCTGGGACTGTTTTGGGGAAATAGCACCCTCTGGAGGAAAGAGCATGTGTGTTTTGTGGGGGTGCCCTGGGGGTGGTGGGGCACGCAACAAATGATTTCCGGAGCTTTGGCTCCCTTCCTTCTTCAGGGGCCTGGCCAGCTTGGGGGTGGAGTGTAGCTAATTGTTTATCCGCTTCTGACTCTGGCCACCGCAGAGAACAAAGCTGCCTGGCTGTGGGAGGTGGCACAACAGCTGGGAGCAGCAGATAACAGCTGGAGGTGGCAGATATAAAGGCTGGCAACCTCAGGCACAACAGCTGGAGGTGGCAATCACAACAGCCAGAGGCAACAAAGAGGCTAGCAGTGGCTGAAATCTCCAGCACCCTTGAATCTAGAGCCTTAACCCTGGGACATGTGGTCTTACATACAGGGTACCGCAGTGGCAACTCCTGAGAGCATGAGGTCCACGAGAATGAACCTGGGATACACAAAAGCAGTTGCTACAATTAAAAAGTTCTGGACCCAGGAACTGGACGACTTGGATTCTTGTTCCAACTTTACCACTAATCTACTTGGGCAAAGCTTTCTGAGCCTTCGTTTCTATGGTATCTTTCCTACCTACCTCACGGTGTGAGGATCAAACTATATATTTTATAAACTTTAAAGTGATAAAGAATTATAGATTAATATTTTGGGAATGATAAGCAAGGCTTCTCTTGGGCCCTAAGAGCTTCCATTCTCCAAGATATATAGAATCTTCCTTCAACATGAAGAAAGCTAGGATTTCAGTTAAGGACCCCTGAATGTCACCACAGAAAGTGCAGGGGTAGAAGTGGGGCAGAGAAGGCAGACATCCTGACCCACCATGAGTATAGACAGAAGCTTCAAGACAAGTCTTTCAGTCTCCTATCTAAAGCTTTAATCTCCATAGGATTTCTGCAAAGTGCTCGTCCAAAGTGCTTTCCTGATTGTTACAATGCTCTTTATAATATCAATTTGCAATTTTTTTCCCTGAAGTATGAACTCACTGATTGTTCCTTTTGGAGCTCAAAGGACAAGTCCAAGCCTTTGATCACATGACAGCCCTTCAGACCAAATATTTGCACACATCCATTATATCCTTCCGATTGTCTCTTCTCCTGAATGAACTTCCCTGTTTCCTTCAGCCATTTCTCATGTGGTCTGGTTCTGAATCCTCTCATATCCTGAGTGTTCCCTGATGCTGGATATTGCAGATGTGGGATAAACAGAGCAGAGTACAATCAACTACTTTTTTATTCTAGAGACTTTAGTTCAATGAAGGTAGCTTAAGATTAGTTTGCTTTTTTGGCAATCAAAACACATGAATAACTCATATTGGATTATTTTCTGCTAATGAGTTTAATTTTTTTATATTGTACTGCTTGCTAAATCACCTCTCAGTCCAGAGCTTGCTCAGGTATTTTTGGACCCAAGTACATAATTGGGCACCTAACATTTTTACATTTTTGTTAGACTTGGTCTACTTTTTTTTTTTGAGATGGAGTCCTTTTGTTGCCCAGGCTGGAGTGCAGTGGCATGATCTCGGCTCACTGCAACCTCCACCTCATAGGTTAAGTGATTCTTCTGCCTCCGTCTCCCTTTCTGTAGCTGGGACTACAGGTGCACATCACCATGCCTGGCCAATTTTTGAATTTTTAGTAGAGATGGGGTTTCACCATATTGGCCAGGCTGGTCTCAAACTCCTGACCTCATGATCTGCCCGCCTCAGCCTCCCAAAGTGTTGAGATTACAGGTGTGAGCCACTGCACCTGGCCAGACTTGGCCTACTTATTTGATTCCTTTTGGATCATAATTCTGCCCCAGCTCTTGTGTTTGCTATCTGTCCCAGCTTTCTGTCAGGCTCATAATTGATGGCCATAGCATTCTATAGTTTTGAATGAAATTCATGTTGGCCGGGCGTGGTGGCTCAAGCCTGTAATCTCAACACTTTGGGACGCTGAGGCGGGCAGTCTCTACTAAAAATATAAAAATTAGCTGGGCATGGTGGCGCGTGCCTGTAGTCCCAGCTACTTGGGAGGCTGAGGCAGGAGAATTGCTTGAATCCGGGAGGCGGAGGTTGCAGTGAGCTGAGATTATGCCACTGCACTCCAGCCTGGCGTCTGGTGACAGAGTGAGACTCTGTCTTAAAAAAAAAAAAAAAAAAAAAAAAAGGAATTCATGTTAAGAAAATTGAATAGGGCAAGGCCAAAGGTGAAGCTCTCTGGTGTATGAATAGAAAATGAATTCCAGGCTATCATGGTCCACTCACCAGTACCACTGACTTTTAAAGTCACCTAATTAGATTAGCATTCTCTTCATTTTTTCTTTATCTGATCCCCAGGTCATAATGAGAGAACTTGTCAAAAATCTCCTGAAGTTTAGGTACACTTTCGCTGTTGTACTTCTTTGTCAATTTAGTAGCCTTATCATAGAAGAAAATTAGATTATTATTTCTGAGATAGGGTCTCACGCTGTTGCCCAGGCTGCAGTGCAGTGGCATGATTATAACTCACTGCAGCCTCCAACTCTTGGGCTCAATCGATCCTCCTGACTCAGCCGCCAAGTAGCTGGGACTACAGGTATATGCTACCATACCCAGCTAATTTTTAAAAATTTTTACTGAGATGGGGTCTTGCTGTTTCCCAGGATGGTTTTGAACTTCTGACCTCAAGCTATTCTCCTGCCTCAGCCTCCCAAAGTTCTCGGATTACAGGCATTAGCCACCACATTCAGCCAAAATTAGGTTATTTCAATGTGATTTGTTCTTAGTAAATCTACATTGGGTCCTACTGACAACTTCCTTTACCCCTAGCCTGCCCAGGTACTCATAATCTTAATAGTCCCTTCTAGAATCTTGCCTAGGATCAAGATCTTACCTGTTTGTCTGTAGTTTGTGAAAGGTACTTCATTTTTCTTTTTGAAAATTAAAACTATGTTCACTCATTTCCAATTTTACATCACTTCCTCTGTTCTATAATATTCCTCAAAATCTTTTACATTAGTTTACATCTCTTTTTTTCAAGAGTTTGAGGATCAAATGAGAAGGACTTCTAACGTGTGAATTCTAAAATGGTATGTAGATACAGGCAGTATGGTGGTTATGTTATTATTACTACTATTGAGTACTAAATAGGGCTTTGTTTGGGCTTGAAATACAAATTCTTCAAACTTCAGAGTTGCAGAGCTTTCTTTTTGTTCCAAAGCAGCCAAGGATACAGGGGAGTGAATGACATCCAGGTCAGGCTGAATAGTCTCTCGTGAACAGAAGTTCCAAATGGCCTGTGGACTAGTAAACTGGGCATTCTTGCTGCCTCTGAACATTCTCTGGGTTCTCATTCATTGGTGATCTCCAATTCAGTGCCTACCTGGTTGGGCATACAGTCGGGCCCAAATAATTTAAAGTTTTCCAGGGACAAGGCCATGGGGAAAATAGAGTAAGGAGCGGGGTGGGCAGTGTGAAGAATCATAAAATGCAATGATTCAGACTTCTTGGAATGGAGAATGTAATGAGCCTCTCCAAGAAGGGCCAAACTCCCCAGAGATCACCCTGCTTCTCTGCAGAAGATCTGGCTATCAGATCCAGAGTCAAGTGATTAAACTTCTCTCAGTGCTGGAAAAGTACAAGTTAGTGCTTGGGCAAGGGTGCCAGGCACCTTGTATTAAGTGAATTGTCTCCTATTTCAGTGCCTTGTCCCACTTATTGCTATCAGAACACATAGCAGTCCTGAAATTGAGCCTGTGCAGACATAGCTGTGAGTTAATATACACCCCTAGCTCTTCTACTTCACTCCGTCAAAACAATTTTGCCACCCACAATCTGGCATTTCTGCCAGTCCTTGAGAAAATGTCCCAGTGCTGCCAGGAGGTTTCAACATGTTGTTTCTCCTCCAGCACTGCTTATTTCTTTTTGTTCAAATCCCATCTGTACTCTTCCTGACACTGCCCTAGACTCTAACTCAGACCAAATTTGCCCAGATGATGAAAACAGATGATGATGATGGTGAAAAATGAACGGTCTGGGCACTTAGAGAGCATCTTGAAGGGTAAAAGCATGGGTAGTTTCTGCCAATCTCTGAACTAGATGAGTATCTTGGTATCACGAGTGGGTATTGACTCGGGGGTAGAGGAGAGAATGAAGAAATTAAGGGCATGTGTGTGTGTGTGTGTGTGTGTGTGTGTGTGTGTGTGTGTGTACATGCGTGTTTATTAAGGGGGATTGGCCTGGAAGGATTTCAGCAGGATAGCATGTCTTTCTTCACAGCCATTCATGAGGGTGGGGAGGGATCCTATTTCAAAATTAGAGATCTTCCAAGGATGAGTTCTGTGGTGAAGGCTCTCATTAGTCTCACCCTCACCTTCAAGGAACTGTGAAGCTACTACTCTTTCTTTTCTGCCTCTCTTCCTCTAAGAATTACAAATATCAGACTGTATTGCAATTATTTGCTTACTAAATAGGCATCTTTCTCACTAGGCTGTGAGTTCTTGGAGAGTATGATGTCATTTTCTTTTTTTTTTGAATTATTATTACTATTTTTTGAGATGGAGTTTCGCTCTGCCACCCAGGCTGGAGCGCAGTGGTGAGATCTTGGCTCACTGCAACCTCTGCCTCCCAGGTTCAAGTGATTCTCCTGTCTCAGCTTCCCAAACAGCTGGGACTACAGGTGCTTGCCACCATGTCTGGCTAATTTTTTGTATTTTTAGTAGAGACGGGGTTTCACTATGTTGGCCAGGCTGGTCTCGAACTCCTGACCTCAGGTGATCCACCTGCCTTGGCCCCTGCACAGTGCCTGGCACATAGCAAGTGCTCAATAAATATTTGTTAACACAAGAACACATAAGTGACACCCAGATGAATGTGAATTCCTCCCTCCCGTGGGGTGGGGGTTAGGGATTGGCCAGACTTCTACAGTAACCTCCATTATGCTGTCTTGCTCCCTCCAGATGACGTCCGTTGCCAAGGTGTATTACAGTCAAACCACTCAGACAGAAAGTCGGCCCCTAATGGGCCCAGGGATACGACGGCGGAGAGTCCTGACAAAAGATGGTCGCAGCAACGTGAGAATGGAGCACATTGCTGACAAGCGCTTCCTCTACCTCAAGGACCTGTGGACAACCTTCATTGACATGCAGTGGCGCTACAAGCTTCTGCTCTTCTCTGCGACCTTTGCAGGCACATGGTTCCTCTTTGGTGTGGTGTGGTATCTGGTAGCTGTGGCACATGGGGACCTGCTGGAGCTGGGTCCCCCCGCCAACCACACCCCCTGTGTGGTCCAGGTGCACACTCTCACTGGAGCCTTCCTCTTCTCCCTGGAATCCCAGACCACCATCGGCTATGGCTTCCGCTACATCAGTGAGGAATGTCCACTGGCCATTGTGCTTCTTATTGCCCAGCTGGTGCTCACCACCATCCTGGAAATCTTCATCACAGGTACCTTCCTGGCGAAGATTGCCCGGCCTAAGAAGCGGGCCGAGACCATTCGTTTCAGCCAGCATGCAGTTGTAGCCTCTCACAATGGGAAGCCCTGCCTCATGATCCGAGTTGCCAACATGCGCAAGAGCCTCCTCATTGGCTGCCAGGTGACAGGCAAACTGCTTCAGACCCACCAAACCAAGGAGGGTGAGAATATCCGGCTCAACCAGGTCAACGTGACTTTCCAAGTAGACACAGCCTCTGACAGCCCCTTCCTCATTCTACCCCTTACCTTCTATCATGTGGTAGACGAGACCAGTCCCTTGAAAGATCTCCCTCTTCGAAGTGGTGAGGGTGACTTTGAGCTGGTGCTGATCCTAAGCGGGACAGTGGAGTCCACCAGTGCCACCTGCCAGGTGCGCACTTCCTACCTGCCAGAGGAGATCCTTTGGGGCTACGAGTTCACACCTGCCATCTCACTGTCAGCCAGTGGTAAATACATAGCTGACTTCAGCCTTTTTGACCAAGTTGTGAAAGTGGCCTCTCCTAGTGGCCTCCGTGACAGCACTGTACGCTATGGAGACCCTGAAAAGCTCAAGTTGGAGGAGTCACTAAGGGAGCAGGCTGAGAAGGAGGGCAGTGCCCTTAGTGTGCGCATCAGCAATGTCTGATGACCTGTTCCCACTTTGCCATTCCTCTGATCTCTTTTCCTCTCTTTCAATGCCCCAGTAAGGAATACTGCCTGGGTTTACTGGAGATCCCCAGAAGCATCCATCCTCCACTCCCTCTTCTTTAATCTGGTGGCCTGTCATTAGCTTAGGCCAACTGGAGTCCAGGTTCCCCCCCCCCGCCCACTGTCCCCTTTCTCCTCCCCCTGCTTCTGCCCCAATACACATACCTCCTTAAGCCAGGATGGGGGAAAGAGAGGGATTAGGCTGCAGTGGCTTAGAAGGCCTCAGCCATGCTTGGAGACTCATGTTAGGAGGACCATGTTGTTGGAAGGATAGACTCCCCCACCTCCCGCCACCACCAAGAAGTTTGGTGACTTGAGGCTGGAGCTCCCTCTGTCTCTACCTTTCCATCTAGCAAGTTCCCAAAGGCAAGACTCTCTCTGATGGTCACATTGCTGTCTATGCTTTCAGAAATTCGGGAATCTGATCTCACTGTATCCTAGGGTTTTTACCAACCTCTGTTGAAAGAAGCCAGGGTTTGTCACTGTGAAGCTGATTTCTGCTGGTAACTTCTGACCATACCCTAGAACCATGGTCACCACTATTCTCCCTGGCTAGTTTCTCAAGTGAACACTCAGGATACCCAGTTCCTTCATAGCCTCTGTTCTCAGAGAATTGGAGTTGGCCCAAGAAACATAAACATGCAACCATCCATATCTATCCTGGATTCTGAACTCTTCAATTTGGAGTGACTAACACAAGTTGTTGTCTAAAACTTTAAACCTATCTTCCAGGCAGCCCCGGAAAGATCTGTATCTCCATGTCCTGTGAATGGAAGGACACAAGCCAATATGTTCCTTTGAAAAGAGTTCAGTGCCCAAGCCCCATGGAAAGGTCTGAAAATAATAATCCAGATTACATTGTACCTGGCTTCTTTTCGTCCTTTCCTGCCCAGCCTAGATCCTTCTTCCTTAACTCCGACCCTTTGGGAGAAGGCAGGGGAAATGCAAGGGCCTTCCTCTCTTAACACGGATGCTCAAGTAAAACTAGATTCACAGGGTACAGATTCCCTGGAAAGTTAACCCAGCTCCACCATGAGGGATGGGCAAGTTCTCAGATTTCCAGACTGCTATAGAGAGCCTCTGGGAATTAGTGATGCTTTGTTAAGGTTTAGGCAGAAGCAGAACTCTGCGGCTGGCAGCCACTATTCTGTTACACCTCCCAGTTCCTTCTGAAAGTGCCAGTTATTTCATTAGGCAATGCTGAGCGGAGAGGAAATTATACCATCTGATCAAATAACCATGGCTTCCCTCAGCCATTCCTGAGACATGGTATAAAATGATGAAAATCAATATCATCTCTACTCTCTTCTGCCATAAGGCCATTTTCAGGCAAGTTAAAAAGCATACTTTAAGAGATCAGACTCAGCCTATTCCTTGTTCCCTGGTGGGGTCTGTGGTAATGGTCAGGGAAGGACATTTAGGCACCAGAGCTTTATCCAAAGCCTCAAATCCCTAGACTGCTTTCTGGCCTCACTTTGGTATGAAGGAAGCCCCACACAGTGGTACTGCATAGTCCCACTATGAATCAAGTGGCAGTTTATTTGAGGTGATCTCAGCCAATTGTTGTAAGCTACATGCTCACACAGAATATATACATGCATCTATATACTGAGCCTTGCAGAGAAACACAAAATATTGAGGCTAGACCCATGATTACCACCTACTATAATTGCACAAGTTCTTGTCATATTGATCTCTCCTCGAACTCAACTAACTGTATGAAGACCCTTCATTGTGCATCTACTGTAAACCCCACCATTACCTTCTAGCTGGCGTAAAGACAAGAACCACAGAAACTTGAAAAATCTGAAACAGAAAACAGAAGGCAAAGAGCCAGCTTCTGGGTTCTCAACTTTATTCATTAGATTTACCTGATTTCTTTCAGTGTATAGGGACAAGATGTACTGCTCTGTGTGTGTGTGTGTGTGTGTGTGTGTGTGTGTGTGTGTATCTGTATCTTCTTATCCACTGGCAAGTTATTCTCCTTCTGGTTTATTTTGCCACGGTATGTTTCCTTCCTGAAGAGATTAATTTGTTCCCATTCCCCTGCTGCCTATTCTAAGCCCCCAGACTCAAGCCCCTAGCCTCTTGGATAACAGAAGTTTCTGACTTACCCTTTGGAATCTCCTTCATTATTATCCCAGGCTTTGCTTTAAGTTGCACTTTAAATCATGCCATCCTATTTATGCAATCTGGCATCTTCTCCCATAAGCCCCCCACAGGGAACAACTACCCCCAATCCTAACTCTAAGTGGTTCTTTGGACTATAGTCTGCCTCCTATGACCTGAAATCCTCTTTCAGGCTATAGGCCGAGCTTCAGAAGCAGCCAGGTCTGTGAGAAATGGGCCCCCATATCAACCATGGACTTGGAATGTCAGGAGAGTAGTAGGCACAGGTGTTAAAAGGAGAGATTTCAGAAGATGGGCAAAACGACTGATGGGGGAAGATACCTGGAGTGTGAAGATGAGAAAAACATGATGCTGAAGGACCTAGTGAAATCAATAAACTCTTGAGTCTTGCTTAGGCTCGCAAACAAGAAGTGGGGAGGCTTGGGGAATTAGGATATGACACATACGAAAGGTTTATCTAAGAAGAAAGAAACAGAGATAATATATATATAGAAAGATGTATATAGATGTATATATGCCCAAATATATTGAATGTACAGAAGGGAAATATTCAAAGACTTTAGCAATGGGGGCAGATATCTTGCCCTGGTTATGGGGTAGGACACTCAGATTTTCAGACTTACAATCAGTGGTCCTGGTTTCAAGATGGAAGTGAGATACTTGATGAAGGATTTCAAGTCTGGAAATGGGAAAGGGAGGAGTGGAAGTTCCTTTTCGGAAATAAAGAGGCATTCATCAAGGCTTTTGTTGAATTCTATGCTACTGCTAGGACCAGGAAGAGAGAAGTAGGAGGACAACAGGGAGGGGAAGTCTTGGAAAATCTACTACTTACACTGTGTGCCCCATCCCCAGCAGCATCCTGCCACTGCAGTACCTTTTTAAATTAATAAAATAAAATAAAGCACCTTTTCGTTTCCCTTTCATGAAGTACACTAATTTCCCTGTTTTCCACAGGGGTGGGAGCTGCTATTGCTCACCCCTGGAATTCAACTGAGGAGCTGAACACCTTGGTGTATGGGAGGCACTAAAGGGAAGCCTCAACCCTGGAATCCAAACTGCCGGGACTGGAGAGCTGTTGGGCTTGAGACCTCCCAAGGCCAAGGCCTAGTCTTTTGTGTGGCTGCAAGCAGCCTGAAGAGAAAGCCATGGATTCCAGCAGAGTTCTAATCCTGACATTTGGGCATGGAGGGTGATGCTTTGGTTTTGATGCTTCTGAATGAAAATGAGGAGTGGGGTTATCAGCTCCTCTAGGGGATGGTGATGTTCCATGAGAAGCTTCCAAAATCCCTACAATATGCTTCACTCCATTATTCCCCCAACCCCTGTCAGCCTAATAAGATCATCCAGGAGTTTCCCTATAAGGTCTGAGCAGAGAAAGAAAGCCAGTTATACTATTGCTACAAGTCAAGGACACTGTGCCCTCCCCACAGCTGCTGCCCTGGTCCTCCACTCTTGCTAGCTAACCTTGTTCACTTGTAAAGTAACACACTACCTTTGCTGAAAAGTTAGCATGGGCCTCCAGGCTCAGTAATGGCCAACTCTACTGATACAGAAGGAATTAAGGATAGTTTTCCATTCATTGCACTAAAGACTAACCCAGGTCAAATTTATCTAGGAAAAAAAGGCGTGCAAGATTTGTTTTGTTTTGTTATGGTCTGTTAAGAATAAGCTACTAAATAAAATGGATGACTCTTTGGTTGTCACTCTAGCTTCTTTTAGAAATCTAAACCAATACTGTCGAGGTCCGAACTCCTAGGTCTACCCATGGGAGTGGAGGGTTGAATTAGGCTGTGCTGGAAGAACTTCTGACTGCATGGCCCAGCCTTTTCTGTTTAATTTTTCTCTCATGCTTTAGCGAGTTCCTTTCACAGTTGGTTTTTATGAGACAATATTGAAAAAACATTAAGACCCAGGAATCTGAAAATTGGCTCAGCTTAATCCATAAAAGTCACGATGCTTTGGATTCCAGGCATCGTCCCTTTTGTCCAGTGATCACAAGCCCAATTTCCCTTCCATGCTACCATGTGGTCTTGTTGCCAGTTTTCCTTATATATCCTCAAGGTTCTGTGTAAGCTTATTCCTTGAATCACCAGGCATTTCTTCCCCTAAGTCTCAAAGAAATGAATTTCTCTTCTACCCTTGTTGGTCAGTAGCCTGAGCAAGGCCTGGTTGTTAATAGCCAGTCCTGAATTTTCTCTGATGAGAGGCAACAGAGATCCTACGGTCACTGACTCTTGTTCCCCAGAAGTAGAGGGAGAGAGAGAGAAGGAGGGAGAAAATTTGGTCTCTTATCATGATCAATAAATACTTAAGTACAACATTTAGGAAATACTAGGAATGAATCCTAAGACATATGAGATATATAAGATAAAGGACATGTATAGTTCCTAAAAGGCCTAAAAGGTTAAAGAGCTGAGCACTGTGGCTCCCACCTGTAATCCCAGCACTTTGGGAGGCTGAGGTGGGCAGATAACCTGAGGTAGGGAGTTCGAGACCAGCCTGACCAACAAGGAGAAACACTTTTCTACTAAAAATACAAAATTAGCCAGGCATGGTGGTGCATGCCTGTAATCCCAGCTACTTGGGAGGCTGAGGCAGGAGAATTGCTTGAACCTGGGAGGTAGAGGTTGTGGTAAGCCGAGATTGCACTATTGCACTTCAGCCTGGGCAACAAGAAAAAAATGTTAAAGAAACCTACAAAGTTGCAAGGAAAGAGAAATAAAACAAGTAGCATATAACAAATATAACTAAAAGCAATAGCAGGTACCATGTACTAATGCCAGATATAACCTTAGCACAATGTTCTAAAAAGAGTGAGATCTCTATGGGAAACATTTCACAGGAACAGGAAGTAGGCAAGGGATGGTATCAATCTAAGAGGTTTGGCTAGAATACATTTGACATAAGATTCAAGAAAAATCAGCAAACACTGAGTCCCTATTTTGTGGAAGGTATCACTCGGCTAACCAAGCAATATAAGACATAAAACATACTTCAAGGGATGTACAATCATGGGGCTTTCCACCTGCTATTCCTTTTGTGGAACTCTCCCCACCACCTGCCACTTTCCAACCTTCTTTTTTTCTTTTTTTGAGACAGAGTCTCATTTTGTCACCTAGGCTGGAGTGCAGTGGTGTGATCTTGGCTCACTGTAATCTCCACCTCCTAGGTTCAAGCAATTCTCCTGCTTCAGCCTCTTGAGTAGCTGAGACTACAGGCACATGCCACCATGCCTGGCTAATTTTTGTAATTTTAGTAGAGATGGGGCTTCACCTAATTGGTCAAGCTGGTCTTGAACTCCTGACCTCAGGTGATCCGCCCGCCTCAGCCTCCCAAAGTCCTGGGATTACAGGCATGAGCCACCTCACCAGGCCAACCTTCTCAACTCTTACTATGCCCATCTGAGATCAAATAAATCCCCTTAAAAGCTAGAGTACTTAGCCCAGCTGCAATTGTATATTACTTATGAATTTATTTGACTAATGTCTACGTAGCTTACTAGACTTCAAGTGTCATGTGAATGGGATTCATGTCAAGTGTTTGGTCATGAGTACAGCCCAGCACCTCACATAATGCCTGACATGTATGATAAACTAGCATGAGCGAAAGAAAGAAAGGAGAGAAAGAACTGGCCTAAAGTATGCAGTGGAGCATGTATGCCTTGTGAACTAACTATAAAAGACTTAGATAACAGGCATGATATAATTACTGTTAAAAAATAGAACAGACAATAAACATCACCTCCTTTTGAGGAGAGAGAGACTATTTCACTTGTTAAAGTCTAGGAAGAGTTTATAGAGGAGTTGAGGCTTGAGTTCAACATTGAAAAACCAAATAGCATTTAAGTCAAGAAAACAGTACTCTTTGTAGGAAGTACGACACGAACAAAGTATCATGGGAAGAAAGAATAAGGCATATTTTGGGAACAGTAAACCTAAAACAGAGGGCTTTACAGGCGAATAGGTTAGAAAGGTAAGTTAAAGTCAGAAAATGGTGGGACTGAATGTCAGGCAAAAGAGTTCATTATTTTTTTCTTTAGGCAGTTGTGAACCACTGAAGATGTTTGATGGAGGAAAGAATCTAAGTAAAATACTATTAATTAATATCAATTTGGCATTAGAATTGAGACAGAAGACATTAAATCAGTTAAGAGATTTTTAAAGCTTGAGGGAAAGGCAATTGCCACAGATCCTCGTATAGTATAGGTGTTCGTCATGTATTAGCTGAGCTGTTGAAGGTCTGGACTAAGGTTCAGGATGCTGGGCGTGGAAAGAATTAGAAACAGATTCCAAAGAAATGACAGAGCAAGACATATGAACAAAATCTAGTGAAAAAGAAAGTGATTAAAGTAGTCAAGATTCTAGCAGGAGGCAGATGGTATCCTCAAAAGGCCAATGGACATGTTTTAATTAAGGAATTATTTGCAAAGGTATGAGCAAGTTTAATACATCAGCAAGATATGGTGATGTACCCAGGCACTCACAAAGTAGGAAGGCTTTACCAGCCTTAAACCTGAAGGGACAGTAACTGGAACCACGAGACTAGCACCCAAAGGAGGGAGCTATAGCTTCAACAGGAGCCTGGCTTTAGGTGAGGAACTCAGACACTGCCAAAGATCTGCCAGTGCCTCCCACTGGTCTATTCTAATGGGAAGCCAGAGAACAAGGGAGACTGAGTGATGCTACCCATAGAGTTTAACCTCTTAGAACACAGAACAGGGCAAAAAAGACGAATAGTGGATACAGAAGGGTAATGAGAGTACAGGTAGCACAGTGAACAAGGACAAGATTCCTTCGAGGGAAACTAGGGTTGAGCCACCCATGTTTGTGCTTCCCCTAGTCATTGGCTCTAAAAAGGATGGAAATCTAGGAGAAGACAGTGAAAGGGGGAATTAGGAAGGATTGTAAGTAATAGTCCAAGAGGTAATGAACAGTTGAGCACTTGAAAACATGTAGCCCTTCTGAAGGAGATGAGAAGATACAACCCCTAAACCCAATGCAATAAGTTCAATATGGGGTCCTTAGATCCTGTGATGTTTCTCTTCCACCCAGAAATAGTAACTAAAGTTGGGCCTTTCTGTCTAATTTGTTTTACAGACTACACTCTATTCTTCGTTCCCACTACTACTAACTGTAGTGGCGCTATCTCAGCTCACTGCAACCTCCACCTCCCAGGTTCAAGTGCTTCTCTTTCCTGCTTCAGCCTCCTGAGTAGCTGGGATTACAGGCGTGCACCACCATACCCAGCTATTCTTTTGATATGTTTAGTAGAGATAGGGGTTCACCACGTTGGCCAGGATGGTCTTGATCTCCTGATCTCTTGATCTGCCCACCTTGGCCTCCCAAAGTGCGGTTGTTTTTTTTTTGACTAGTTGTTTCCTTATCTGCCTAAATTTGGTGCCTCCCATCTCTCTACTAGGACAGCCATATAGGGGTAGATTGATGGAGGCCTTTCTGCCATACTACTGAAATCAGTCCAGCCACAAGTACCCTTACTTAGTTAATTCTTAGACATCTACCTCCCATATTTTCTATCTTAGGGAACTAAGCCTCGCGTATCTATTATTTGCAGAAGAAAAGAATAAATCGGAGATAGGAAGAGTCACAGTGAGAGAGAATATCCAAAATATCCAGACGAGAGATTAATAAGAGAAAACACAGGAAAATGAGAATTTATGATCAACATTTTACTAGCAAGTCAGCCACATAATGATTAAGATATTCTAGGTCAGGCAGACTGGATTTTGAGTTCTGGCTCTGCCACTAGTTAGCTTTGTGATTTAGGAAAATCACTTAATCTTCATAAACCTTGTTTTTCTTCATTTGTAAAGATGGGAATGTCTACCTTACATGAAGAGTATTTGGCATAATGCTTGGTACATTGCAAATGAGTCCTCAACAAATCCAGCTATTATAAATCATCATCGTCATCATCATTATTATATGAGTAGTGATGTGCTGCCACTATATATATGGCTAATATACTGCAAAAAATGGTTAGAATTATCAACTTAAGGCACATAATTATACAGGACATAGAGATACCACAATATGAATATGGAATGTATAAGATGAACGCAGCTCATCTCCGAAGGATAAATGTGAAATGTAGGATGGATGCGTAGTCACCTCCTTTTCTTATTCTAGTCCAGAGGACTTCCCCTAGGAAGAAGCCTCATTCTGTAAAATCAAATTAGTCAGTACTTACTAAACATTTACCATGTACCTAAGACTACAATAAATTACAAATGATGGAAAAAAATTAAGGATGATATAATTTCTACCCCCAAGAACCCTACAATCTCATTGTGAGGGTTAGGAATACAATCTAAAATAAAGTCTGAAATTCTACAATGCAGACTATATAATATGAGTGCACTAAGTAACCATGGAAAGGGGTTACAGTCCTTGGTGAGAAATTCATGGAAGTAGGTAGGGTTGGAGTGAGGTGGGGGAAGCAGGAGACCTTGACATACATAAAGGATATTTAAAAGGGAAAATAACTGGGAGTTGGGAGCATATTCTGGTAGGAAGAACCTCTAAAATCAACTCAACTTTTGCTGAATGGCTACTAGTACTGTGTTAGATATTAAGGTACAGAAAAGAACAAGATAATCGCTGACATCAAGGAACTCAAAGTATCCTATTGGAAAACTAGGACAGTGAAACAAACAAAAACAGTTGTTGCAAAGCAGTGTGACAAATGCTGTAACAAAGGAATGACCAGGGAGTTTTGGAGCACTGAGGGGACTTTCAGAAGCACGGCAGGTTCTTCTGTGTGAGTGGCCTTCTAGAATTTAGAGCCCGTCCACCCCAGTCCTCCTATCCTCGGACAGGGGAGATGACTGGCGTCTAAATCATTCATTCTGCGTGATGAGGAAGTGAGTGGCAGCTGGGAGCTAACACTTGCACTGAGGCCTGAGGGATTGAGGAGGTGTTAGCCAGAGTCACTGGGGAGGGGAAAGCAACTTTGGCAGAAGAAATGCCAACCACAAAGGTACTGAGGCAAAGGGCCTGACGCACTTTAGGAATTTTGTGACACTTTTCTGTCTTCTTTCCCATCACCTTCACTTAGAGTTGCCGGATAAAATACAAGCTGTCCACTTAAATCTGAATCTCTGATTACCAACTAGTAATTTTAAAATATAAGTATGCTTTCAATATTGCACGGGACATGCACACTCAGCCCCCTTCAACTCACCCTATCCTGTCTGGGGCCCACAACCCCCCAGTGAATACCGGCGACCTGGTGGAGTAAAGCATGAGAAGGCTCATCTTCCTTTCATTCCCACATTACTCACTCCCGGGTCTCCAGCCAGGGACTGAGGGATGCAGGGCGCAGGCCGCAGCTGGCTCCGCGTCGGGGGGTTTTCCTCTGCGGACCGGAATAGGGCGCGGGAAGAGGGCGAGGGGCGTCTCTTACAAAGAAAACTCACTCCGCTCCATAAAATTCTTGAGCCAGTGCCGGATTTCCTGGCAAGCGGATGTCTCCCTGCCTAGGGACAGGAAATCCCGCCTCCGCCGGAAGAAGAAGCGGAAAAGAGACCGCCCTTCCAAAGGAAGGCGAGTCTTTGGCTGGGGCGACTGAGAAGCCCGCGCGGGGCTGGCGACCAGTAGCAGTACGGGGGCGGGGTTTCATGCTGGAAGTGACCGTTCTCATTTGTTTCGGTGGGCAGTGTAGCAGGTGGGAGATGCAGCGGCCACCTGCGGAAGGGACGGAAGGGACCGAAGCGAAGGTTAACTAAGGCAGTTTGGAGCTGCGGCTGAGCAGCTGTCGCACAGTCAGATCATGGGCTCGACCAAGCATTGGGGCGAAAGGTTCCTGAACCTGAGGGTGGCCCCCGCCGGCGTGTTTGGTGTGGCATTTCTAGCCAGAGTCGCCCTGGTTTTCTATGGGGTCTTCCAGGACCGGACCCTGCACGTGAGGTATACGGATATAGACTATCAGGTGTTCACTGACGCCGCGCGCTTCGTCACGGAGGGGCGCTCGCCTTACTTGAGAGCAACTTACCGTTACACCCCGCTGCTGAGTTGGCTCCTCACTCCCAACATCTACCTCAGCGAGCTCTTTGGAAAGTTTCTCTTCATCAGCTGCGACCTCCTCACCGCTTTCCTCTTGTACCGCCTGCTGCTGCTGAAGGGACTGGGGCGCCGCCAGGCTTGTGGCTACTGTGTCTTTTGGCTTCTTAACCCCCTGCCTATGGCAGTATCCAGCCGAGGTAATGCAGACTCGATTGTCGCCTGCCTGGTCCTGATGGTCCTATACCTAATAAAGAAAAGACTCGTCGCGTGTGCAGCTGTATTCTATGGTTTCGCGGTGCATATGAAGATATATCCGGTGACTTACATCCTTCCCATAACCCTTCACCTGCTTCCAGGTCGCGACAATGGCGAAAGTCTCCGTCAATCCCGGTGTTCCTTCCAGGCTCGTTGGCACGAGCTCCTGAAGAGGCTGTGTGATCGGGCTGTGCTGTTGTTTGTAGCAGTTGCTGGACTCACGTTTTTTGCCCTGAGCTTTGGTTTTTACTATGAGTACGGCTGGGAATTTTTGGAGCACACTTACTTTTATCACCTGACTAGGCGGGATATCCGTCACAACTTTTCTCCGTACTTCTACATGCTGTATTTGACTGCAGAGAGCAAGTGGAGTTTTCCCCTGGGAATTGCAGCGTTCCTGCCACAGTTCATCTTGCTTTCAGCTGTGTCTTTCGCCTATTACAGAGACCTTGTCTTCTGTTGTTTTCTTCATACGTCCATTTTTGTGACTTTTAACAAAGTCTGCACCTCCCAGTACTTTCTTTGGTACCTCTGCTTACTGCCCCTTGTGATGCCACGAATAAGAATGCCTTGGAAAAGAGCTGTAGTTCTCCTAATGTTATGGTTTATAGGGCAGGCCTTATGGCTGGCTCCTGCCTATGTTCTTGAGTTTCAAGGAAAGAACACCTTTCTGTTTATTTGGTTAGCTGGTTTGTTCTTCCTTCTTATCAACTGTTCCATCCTGATTCAAATTATTTCCCATTACAGAGAAGAACCCCTGACAGAGAGAATCAAATACGACTAGTGTATGTTCCAGACTTTATGCTGGTGTCTGTTACATTCTGATTGCCTTGTATGGACCAGAAGAGAGCTTTGGGACTTTTTTTTCTGAACATTCTAAGAACTCTAGTGAAAGTTCCCCTGTTCCAACAGAACTTAAAACCAGTGTTTGCCTTATATGTAAAAGGGACACAATAATTGAGGTCTGGATGGGCACAGTGGCTCACGCCTGTAATCCCAGCACTTTGGGAGGCCAAGGTGGGTGGATCACCTGAGGTCAAGAGTTCGAGACCAGCCTGACCAATATGGTAAAACTCAGTCTCTGCTAAAAATATAAAAATGAGCTGGGCGTGGTGATGTGCGCCTGTAGTCCCAGCTAGTCAGGAGGCTGAGACAAGAGAATGGCTTAAACCCGGGTAGTGGAGGTTACAGTGAGCTGAGACAGAGCAAGACTGTGTCTCAAAAAATAAAATAAATAATTGAGGTCCGCCTTCTAAGATATCTTAGGACTCGTTTATTTGGGACTTGATGGGAATAAACTTTACATACTAGAAAATGGAAAGGCTGTTGAAACTATCAGATACTAAAAGATTCTTAAAATAGAGGAACATAGTTAGAGACATCAGGTTTAAGCCAGTATTTGTTCCTGTTTTACTATGCTTCTGTCTTAAGCTGTGTCTTAACTTTTAAACCCCATTTTTTCTTTCTAAAGCTTTCCTCACAGCTGTGAAAATCCAAAAAGTATTCTTAGGCTGGGTATGGTGGCCCATGCCTGTAATCCCAGCACTTTGGGAGGCTGAGAAGGGAGGATTACTTAAGTCCAGGAGTTCTAGACTCATCTGGGGCAAGATAGTGAGACCTAGTCTCCAATAAAATAAAAAAAATTAGCCAGGCATGGTGGTGTGCCCCCGTAGTCCCAGCTGCACGGGAGGCAGAGATAGGAGAATCGCTTGAGCCCAGAGCAAGACCCTGTCTCAAAAAAATAAAAAAATAGAAAGGATAACTTTTTAGGTATAAAAGTATTAAATAATACTAAGGTGCTTATTATTTTAGAGAGTTTTTAACGTCTGTATTAAATGTGGGGGCTTAGAAGATAAATCATTCAAATAATTTAAATCGTAATCATGTTTCATGTATTTGTTTTATTACTTAGTTTTCCAGCACTTCATCCCAGTGGTATTAGACTGCCACTTGGTTTCATACAAAAAGGATTAAATTTAAATTCATGTTTAGACTTGAGTTATTACATTTTTAAAACTATCATCTTGCCTTTAATGTGTGAGGTCCTTACACACAATACTATTGGTACATGTCAGGATCTTTTTACCCCTTTGTTAAGTTTTTGATTGCTAAAGCAAGATTTTTTTTTCTTGAAGAATTTAAGTCAATCAAGGGTTATCTATGTTGTAAAAATGAATAATAGTAGATTTTAGGTGATAAAGCAACTTGTTAGTAAGACATTTCCTAGCTTAATAAATAAATACATAATTCCATGATAGAAATTGCAGACCTGTGAGGGAAACTCCTAAAAAGCATAAGAAGCATCCCAAAGAGCCATTGGTTTTCTAGACCAGGAAATTTAGAGGGAGATTGTAGAAATGAGGCTTGGCTGGGCAGCTCGGTCTCTCTTATCACTGTAATATTTCTAGGGGAAAAATACTTTCTGAATTGTTCAAATAAGCATCTATCTATCTATCTATCTATCTATCTATCTATCTATCTATCTATCTATATTTAAATTAAACAGCTTGGCTAGGCTTGGGAGTCCCTAACACTACAGTAGCAGTATATGAATATGATTTTGTGATTTTATTTTTTAAAAGATAACTAATTTAACAAACTGTTCTTTTGCAGTCAAAAAACATCCACAAAAAGACAAGAAGAGTTCCACAGTAGTATACTTCATGTCAGTTCAGGGCTAAAAAAGCCTTTGCAAATAAGATGTCTATAGGCTGGTCACAATTAACAATGTTATTGGTAGCACTTGTGGGATGGATACCTTTTGGGACCTTTCATTAGAAAGAGGGAAAGAATAGGGTAGTTTTGTGTGGGCTTCTGTTTGGGGTAAAAATAGCAGAGTCAGTTCCTGAGAACAGTGACCTTCCTTATAACATCTAGTCTCATACCTCATATTAGGGCCTTCCAGCCATGGCATTCTTAGCTTTTTTTTTTGCCTATTCTAAGAATTAAAAAAAAAAAAAAAAAAGAATTATAGAGCCAGCAGGGAAGGAGGCAGGAAACAGAAATTGAATTTTATCATTCCAATATAATTGTCCCTTTTTTTTTCATATTTCTGACTTTGTTTTATAATTATATTTACTTACTAATTTTTTAAAAATGTTCTTTATTGTGGCTTACTCTTCATACTTAGAATTGAAATTCCTGGACATCACATGTATGTTCACATTATAAATGCATCATTCTTCCACTGTTAGATGTGTAGATTGCTTCCAGTTTTTAACATTTTAAATAAGATTTTCAACATTTTCTGTGTTTTAGCTCACTCTCTTAGGACATTCTTAGAAGTTAGAAACATTTCTACTGGGAACTTTGGAGGGAACTTTAAACTTTAGATCCTGTCCTGCAAGAAATTCTTTACCAAAGAAAGGCAGGTGTTTCTTAAAGGGATGCAAAGGATATTTTGCACTTTGTATGTTGCAAAGCATTTAGTTAATAGGTTAACTAAAAAAATGAGTTAATTTGGTTTAATGGGGGATTTTAATTTTTTAAATTTGTTTTCTGGTCATGTAAAATCTTTAAAAAATTATTTTTGCTTTTTCTCACAACTGTTTTGTTTCCTTTTTAGTCATTTAATAGCACCTTCAAATTGTATATAAGACTTTGGCTTATTTCCTACATAATTCTTTTTGTTCTTATATCACCCCTTAAGATTGATATGTTCATTTACAGATAAGCATTCATTATTAGATGAAGAGGGATGATTCTCAAGATTGTGTGTGTTCTGAACAGAGGGAACTAAGTTTTCTTCTGTAATTGCCTTTGTTACATCTTTAGAATGTGGTTCCTAAATATTCCTAGATAAAATCTCTTGATAGGCCTATTGGAAAGCCTGATACTCTCACCCACTACTTTGTTTCTCCCTGACAAAAGAATTCTTTGTTGAAGCTATAGATATTAGTTACTACTTCTCACCGTCTGGACTCTTAGAACATGTTTCAGAAGTTGTTTAGAACTTGTCTTTCAGTCAGTTGACTTGTGGCTGAATTTATTGTTATTTCACTATTATCAGTTGTTTTCTGCGTTACCACCCTCTCCCCAACCATCTGTACTATGAATAGAAAAGAAAAAAGATGGAAAATTCTACCTGGGATTGTCCCTAAAAGCAACCTCTTTGTTCCCCCCACCCCTCATATTTTATTAGAATCTATTTTAGGGGCTGGGCCTGGTGGTTCATGCCTGTAATCCCCGTGCTTTGGGAGGCTGAGGCAGGAGGATCACTTGAGGACAGTTTGAGACCAGCCTGGGCAACATAGTGAGACCCCCATTTGTACAAAAAAAAAAGTGCTACTTGGGAGACTGAAGTGGGAGGACCACTTGAGCCCAGGAATTCGAGGAGGTTATAGTGAGCTGTGACTGTGCCACTGTACTCCAGCCTAGATGACAAAGCGACACACTGTCTCTAAAACAAAAAACTGCAACTGTTTTATTTTTTTATTTTTCTAGGCAAGATGTCGCTTTTTCACACAGGCTGCAATGCAGTGGTATAATTATGACTCACTGCAGCCTTGAACTCCCAGGCTCAAGTGACCCTCCTCCTCAGCCTTCCAAGTAGCTGGGACCACAGGTATGTGCCACCACACCTGGCTAGTCTTTTTATATTTCGTAGAGACAAGGTCTTGCTATGTTGCAAAAGGGAGATCACTCAAGTGATCTTCCCTTGTTCGCTTCCCAAAGTGTTGGGATTACAAGTGTGAGCTACTGTACCCAGCCTGCCTGACCTAACTATTTTACACATGACTCATATAGCCATCATCTAAATTCAACAGCAATTTGCCATGCTTGCTTTATGTATAAGATGATTATATATGTATATATTTTTAATATATATATATTATGTGTGTATATATATATATATATATATATAATTTTTTGAACCAGGTGAATTTGCAAACATCATTGAACTTCACCACTAAATATGTCAGCATGTATCTCCTAAAAATAGGATATTTTCTTACAAAACCGTAATTCTGTTATCGAATATAATTTAACATTCTGTTCATTTTCAAATTTCTTCAGATATTTTGTGTTTAATTTTAAAGAACAGATGTTCTTGGGTCTCAGTGATTCCAAGGAAGCAAAGAACATGATGGATTATCCATAATTAAGAAGTTTGGATCTTTTCCTACTCAAAACGAAGTGAGAACTAAAGGGGTTTACCGTCCATCAAAGTTGAACAAATTAATTTTTCTGTGTGTCATACTTTCTGTCTGTCTCTCTAAAAACATGGGTGTGGTAATCTCTTTTTTTTATCTTGTAGGTTTTCCGGATTAAAAATTACACATGTTTAGAATCTTAATATCCAACCCCCCTCTCCAAGCCCTGCCCCAACAACAACAGCTAATTATTTTACATCTTGATGATGTTAACTTTTTCATGATTAACCAATTTTGGGCACCTATTCTGCCATGTACGGTTTTATTTAATTTTCACAGCAATACTTCAAAGTTGATATTCATATTCTAAATTTATAGATGAACAAAGAGGCTCAAAGATTAAATAACTTGCTAATAAGTGATTTTTACCCATGCTTTTTCCATTATGTTTTGGATTTTTCCAGAGTATCCAAACACAGCAGATGAATTACTGCAGAATAAATGGAAATTAGCACTGGCTCTGACCAGTGTCTGGCCAATCAATTTGTCCTTCTAATCTTTTAGTTGTTTGCTTGAGGGACAGTCGGCTGTACCAAGTCACTATCCTCACTGAACTTACCAATGATTCCAGACCTTTAGCAACTCCCTCCATATCCACATCCTGTCTCACCAAGTTGTGTAATTTCTTTGTTTACTGCTGGCTTCATCATGCACTTTTCCTTCATAGCCTGTTTTAAGAAGTTGATTTACTGAACCACTTTTTAGCCAAGCTTTTTGTAAATCAGCATACAAAAAGTATGTGGCCATAATTTCTGAAAAGTAAATGATCATTGTTAAATTTCTCTTGCTCTGCAGTGTGCATTCAAGCAGTTAAAAATTGTCCTGCACTGATAGTATGGCATCAGAGTATAGACTCAGATCGCTTAGGTTCAAATCCCAGTGCATGATCCTGAGCAAGATGATCATATCTAGATGATCATACATTAGTTTTTATCTATGAAATGGGAATGATAGTGTAACCCTCATAGAATTTTTGGTAAGGATTAAATGAGTTGATATGCTCGAAAGTGTGCATGCTGGCATAGAACAAGCCACTGTTTACAAGCCTTTAAAGAAGGAGCTTTTTGGCACTGTAAACTTGAACCTTTTTTCCCCAAATCTAATGGATATAGGCAAGGAACTTATATAAAATAAATGTTTGACTTCCTTTTATATAAACTATTACTTCTCATCTTGATCTGTTCCTTTGAAAAGACAGTAAATACTGATATGTGAAAAATGTATGGACAGATTATTCAGATGTCTGGTTGAGGCTTGACAGTTTTGTATATTTCTGTTAGACATTAAGCTGACTCTAAGCAGTGGAGGTTTGGTTTATGCCCCTAAATTACACAGCAATTCTTTTCTCCATTATATCAAGGGGTCATTCAGGGGTTGCTGTTCTGGAGATGGAAGCACATGTCTCCTGCCTGGGTCAGAAGCATCACAATAGCACAAGCATTTATTCAGCGCTGGCCTAGGAGAACCATTCATTTAGTCAAAACAAGCATTTATATTCATTATCCTGAACAAAAACCAGACAAAATGAGAACATTTCTAGCTGCTCAGGCACTCTGCTAATTGCTATGTCTGCTAGATGAAACGAAATGACACTTATAGTGAGTATTTAAAAATAATTTGGAGCATGAATATTTGAAGCTCACTTCATTTTATAAAGGAAATGTATGACCTTTGCTCTTCATTTTTTTTGGCAATTATTTATATATCCAGGCCCCGAGTCAAGTTCTGTAATAGATGAGAAAGACAGTCTGTGCTCCTGAAGAGTTAACAGTAAAAACAGAAACATACCCTACTGATAAAATGTTATGTAAGACCCCATTAAGTTCCACAATGATGTGATTTGTGAAATGGAGGGGCAGTAGGGCAAGGTAGTGGTTATTTTTATTTGTATTTTACAGATAAGAAAATTGAACTCAGAAACAAGTGCCTTTCCAAGGTCAAATAGCTAGTTAATGGCAGGATCAGGGCTGGACCCCAGGTCTGCTAATTCTTTTTGTTTCCAAGTCCTTTTTAATGCTGTATGATGACAGGTGATTGCAGTGGAAAAGTTCACCTATTTAGCAAATGTCATTCACTTAGCAAACTACTTAGCAAAATGCCCTGAGTATCTTCTGTGTGCCAGGCATTGTTCTAGGCATTGTAGATGCAGTGAGTGAGAAAGGGAGGTAAAGATGACATTTTCTTGGGGAGGCAAAGAATAAGCAAGTACAGGATTGTGATGATGATGTGTCATAAAGAAAAATAAGGCAAGCTAAGGAAGTAGAGTGCGATGGCAGTGTGGAGAGCACAGTAGATGCTACTTTAGATGAGCTGGTTAGGAAGGTATTGTGATGAGAGAGCACTTGAACAGAGACCTGGGAAGTGAAGGTATGACCTTCATGCAGTCGTGGTGTGGGGAGGTAAGGGAAGAGCATTTCACTCAGCACTCTTTGCTGAGTGAAAGCAGTGCGGAGGTACTGAGGTAGGAATGAGCTTGATATGTTTAAATAACAATATTACGAAGTGGAATGAGCAAGAAGCAACCAGAATCTAATTCATATCCAGCAGAATGACATGAATGCTAGCTGAAAAATACAATTAAATTAGTGTTTTTACCAACCTATAATGCAATAAGTTTGAGTCCAACCTATTTTGTTCCCTGACTTCTGAGCACGTTAATATGTAAGGAAGATGAAACATATATGTAAACAACTTATATTTTAGTAATGCTACAAAATACTTTCACACATTTCGTGACGTGGGAATTTAAAAAAATTCATTTTCCCAGATGAGACCCCCTAAAGCTCAGAGTATATGTACTTTGCCCAAGGTCAGAGTTAATATGTGAGGCAGGAGCATACTCCAGATCTTATGGAGCTCAATTTACTACTCACTTCTCTGTACTACCATTATCATTTAGCTATGGTGAACAGAAGATGACCCACTGGACTCTAGGAAGCAGGGAATTCAGGAAAACATTGTCCAACAGATGATTCATTCATCTAGTAAATACTTAGGAGCCTACTTTGTGCCAGGCACTTAGCTAGCCTGGGGGTATGAGGATGGTTAAGACTAGAGTCCTGCCTTTAAGGAACTCATAGTGCCTGATGGAGGAGACTGGTGGAAAGGGGATTATAACTCACTTATAAATCAATGGCTAGGGTGAAATATACCTATCCATTAATTTGACAAAACTATTGCAGAACCTGATAAATACTAAGTACTGAGATGTTTATTATCTTACCTGTTTTTCTGTAACATTGGTAAGTACTGGAGGCTTTCTTTGAAACTTTCCTGCTTAAAATCACTCAGTGATTAATCATACCTTTGATAATCCTTAGCTTAGCTCACAAGACCTTTTATGATCTAACTCTTGCCTACATTTCCAGCTTTATCTTGTACCTCGCCCCACCCTCTGACCCTACCAAATTATACCACCTCTTCAGCCTTTGCATCTGCTGTTCCTTTGGCTAATATTCCTTCTCCTCTTGTCTTTCCTTACCAGCTAAGTTCAGTTAAGGATGACCTTTGTGAAACATTCTGTGATATAGTACCTCTATTATGTAGTGCAGATCACATTATACTGTAATTTCCCATGTGTATGACTGTGCCATCTAGATTGTGAGCTCCCTAGGGGTAGGGATTATCTCTTATCCATTGATAATATTTTCCTGGGGCTTTTCCAGATCCAAGCAAAGACAGACAGGGAATAACCAATATCATGGAGCTGCTGGGTGTGCTACATACTATCCTAGGTTTGTTAAATTGAGTTGTGTAGGAATCTGTCAAGTGAGAGCTGGGGATAGTGAGCTCCTTTGCACAGTGTGAATGGCGAAGGCTGTGAAAAAGAAGAGAAAACTGTTTCTCAATGCCTGTCATTTCTAAATGTCATCAGCATCCACCTAATTTTCTAAGCTAGAATCTTATAATCACCTCCTATTTCTTCTCCTTCACTTGCTACCCGCCTCACATCTAATCAGCACTAAATTCTGTCAGTTCTACCTTTTAATGTCCCTGGAGCCTGCTGGCATCTTGCCATTGTCATTGGCAGTACAACAGTTCAGGCCCTCATTATCTCTCATCTGGAATCGATAGCTCCTGACTGGTCTTCTTGCTTTTTGTCTCTCTCGCCCTTCATTCCACCTCCCATTTATCCTCCTCACTGCTGCCAGAGTGTGCTTTCCAAAGCAGATCTGATCGTGCCACCATTCTGAAAAAAAGCATCCGGGGGGACTACGTGACCTGCATATAGAAATCCAAATTTCTTAGCATCCTCCATCTTGCACTAACTCTTGCCCACATTTCCAGCTAATTTCCCCTACTGAGCCTCACTCTAGCCTACTGGATAATGAAGTTTCCGGAAGTTACCACACTATGAAGCCTTTGACCTTGCTAGGTTTGTGTGTGTGTGTGTGTGTGTGTGTGTGTGTGT